ACAGTAAGTATGCTAGCCAAGAGACTCGCAATGATAATATGGCCTCGTCGATAAGTTGAATTATCGATTTCACGATACACCTACATAATACAAGAATCGGCTTTTGAATCGAACTATCATTTATCAAAGGATGAAAGAACCACGCACCTGAGGCATGACAATACCACCAATCTGCCCCATGCCCATTATGAAACCTATAGTTACCATCCTTTTCGTATTCCCGCCAACATTATTTGTGATCCATGACAGTAGGATAGTTAGCGCTCCAAATATCCCACCGCTAGCAATACAAGTGCTGGCATACATAGCCGCTTTGTTGTAATCCATAAGACTTATTATCAAGATGAAACCAAGAAGTGCGATTGCCAGAAAAAAGGCAAGATGAAAACCGTGTTCATTACGACGAGATGAAGAATAGCTACCCAATACACAACACAAACACGCAAGAAGATATGGAGGTGCTGTCATTAAATGAGCATATGCCTTTGAAATGCCTAAGCCATTCACTAGAGATGGAAGATAAACTGCGAGATATTTGATCACAGTCAAATTGCCGATAGCGATTAGAGCATATAAATAAATACGCCAATCACTAAAAGCATACCGCACTTGTCGCCACGAAATTATAGTGCCTGATATTGATTCACTGTTAGACTCGCCAGCATCGTGTCGAAGAAGATTTGTGAGCAATTCTTTCTCCCAGTTATCCAGCCCTAGTTTACATGAAAAAAAAATGAATGGGCGACCTTCTGTTCATTCTTACATTGAACAGTTTCAGGTATATTGCCAAGAAAGAGATAAGTGGCAATGCCTAGTGGAACCAGCGGTAGACCTTCGAGCAAAAAGATCCATTGCCAGTTTTTCAAGCCAGCAACATTGTGCATATTACTGATTCCATACACCTGTTTATACGAATAACTAGTTTTAAAAGTCGAATAGAGAAATATTTACCAGAATGCCACCAGAAGCATTTGAGATCATCTCAGCGCTCAGGAAGATACCAATTCTCATCGTTTGCTCTCGTTTGCAATACCATAGTGAAAAATAAAAAATAATACCTGGAAAATAACTAGCTGCGGCCATTCCCTTGATAGAAAACATTATATGAGACCATATTATAAGAAAGTTTTGAATGTTTACAAGAAAAAATCGAACTATGATCAATTGATGCGCATTCTTCACGAAAGCCAACCCAGCTGTTGTTGCTCCCCATACAATCAAGCTTAGAGATAAGTAGCGTGCCGGACCAAGAAGACGCAGTAGAAAACCACTCGGAATCGCGAAAACGAGCTGGAAACAAAAAACAATGACTTGACAAAGAAAAATAGTTCATTTATTTTTCAGCATGAAAAAGTGGTCCGATTCACGTATAATCATTATTCTATGTTTATGAAAAACTTTTAGGATTCACTATTTAGCCAAGTACACAAAATAATTGACTAAAAATTGAATTGCTGTAGAAGATAAAGCATTTTCTCATAAATTGAACAAAGCGAGACAGAGCTTTTGTTCAATTCAGAAATCGAGCACTATGTATCGACTTACATAGCCAAGAAAGAAGATCGACATCGCCCAACTATTCTCTCCTATGGTCAAAGCAAGATCACTTTTGAAAGTTGTCAATTGAACGTGACCTATTATTATAGTTGAAAATATTTTTTGATGTATTCGAAGAACATAAAAATAAGACCTAGTGCGACTTGAAAGCCAAATCTGATGATCGAGAGCACTACGATGAACGGAATAATTCGTCGATCTAGCTTTCTAATGAGTCGGGTTATAGCACGTTGCTCTCGTAATACTTCATCATTTTGAGTAGTCACGGTGAGTGATATTTCTCTAAACATTTAGTTCTTTCATGATAGAAATTGATTCATGATGCTCATTTATAGTAAGGAAATCTCATATTGCGTTAATTTTATTCCTATTTATTCATTTGAAGAAAAGTGCGTCATTACATTTAAGAAAGCACGAGCAATATAATGACGTGTTCTGTTTAGTTCCTTAATAGTCAGCGGTCTCTCTCTACATCGATCCTTACGCAAACAAGCGAATTAGCATGTTTATGCAGCAAACTGCAAATTAATATTCTTACACTTCGATTGATTTCCGACTGGATGCGTTTTGAAGGTTCTAGAAAGAGAACCCATAATAATAACGATATACCCATTGAATAATACGTTTTTTTCTTTTAGTTTCAAACTTGACACGATACATGATCGAAAAAACTTAGAATGGGGTCCAACTTCTTACATGTCTTTTCATGACGGTCTTCAATGCATAAGAAATAATATGATGCAACACAGACAAAGAGAGAAATCACGAAGATTCCTTGAAAAAACGTGTGTTCTCACGCATTGACATGAGCTGCGCTAATAGACTCAAAAGCTGAAAGAAGATAACAACAACGAAACAGACACTTAGTTGACCTGTTATTTATTCGGACGTTGTCGACTGATGTTTCTTTTGTCAATATCTCTTGCTCTTCATAGCAGTGTTTTTGACAGTATCTCGGTGCAATGTGTGTTGAGTGTCAACAAAGAACAGAAATAATGTGTGTAAGATGAAAATCTTAAAATAATTAAATCAGCACTGTATATATATATGATGTGGGTGTGGTTTTCTCTCCACTCTCAACCACGCAGACTTACACTCATCCACACTCCTTCATGGTCAATCTAAAGACAGAAAAGAAGGGAGTCAGTCGATGATAACATCAATGGTGTCGCTTCAGTAGTAAATCTTAACTATTATCTTCTTTTTAAAGGAAAGTGAGAAACAATATTCATTAAGATAACTGCGTACTTCTTGCATGATCTACAGATTGTTCATATTTTTTATTCATTTCAAACCGTTTATTCAATGTATATTTTGCTTGATCATGTGAATAATGACACAAAAACGGCCAAGATAACCACATATTGGTTTCTGACATACTATTATTTCATTGATAATTTATGCATCATTTAATTGAAAAATCTAGAAAATTCTTATTGACCTATTTCAAAAAACTGAACATCATATACTCATATTTATATTACTATTATTGGCAGAGAAGATGCTAACCAACATAATGATATTTTGAAACGTCGACATGAATACTCAAGCTTCATATAGAACATTCAGCTAGGGACGAATTTCTGTCTGCATATAAACTAATTTTCGCCGAGACCCAGAACTTATGGGACACCCTTTATAAATTGGCACGACTCATCGAGTGTCATTTACAAATGTCCATTCTAACATGAATTTGATAGATTAAAGATAAAACTACACACTAACATCAAGAGTTTATCAGTAAAAGTGAAAAAATTGTTTGAGCAGTGCGCTGAACCTGTTAATGGAATTGTAACTGAAACGATTTCTCATCGTTTAGATGACGAATTTTGGTATTTGTCACGAAGATATTTTTGAGGCATCCTGCATACATATACTGTATATTCTGTTGAGTCGAATATCTATTTTTTTAAATATCTGTGGAGATACAATCTTATCACTCTTATTCACACTTCTATATATGTCGTTTGTCCAATTACTGCTCCATTTTCTTCTTCCAGCATCCACTAGTCATTAATTGGTCATCAAAGCATAATTATTACTAATAAAAACGTATTATGCATGATATTGGTTACTATAATCAAAGACTTTCTTTTCATGAGTACTTGTATTATTTTTCGGCATGCAAAAAAAAAGTAAATCTAATATTGAATGCTGCTGTACTCAAACGTAGTTTTGGTCTTAATCATGACAGAGATTATAATATTTTGTCTTGCCTATCGAATCTAATCATACGACTGACTGCTTATGTTGATTTTTCTACTTGAAGCGTGCAATGTTTAGATGTAAGATCGATCTATCAATGCAAAACACAGAAATCATTCACCTATCTCAGAATTACCAAGTTTTTTTTTCATTCACATATCATGAATATCAATGTGTATGTATTTGCAAGAAACAACCTAGGATAGTTAACGTATCAACATGATATATCACCATCGATACAACTAATATCTATGAATCCACTATGAATGTCATCAATTCAAGACGTTTTTTTTGAGTCTGTCAGAGGTATGGGTGTGAGCATCAGTGTGAAGTACGGGTGTAGTTGTGAGTGTCGGCGAGGGTGTGGATGTGGATGTGGGGTGTAGATGTACGTGTGGGTGGATGTGGTTTTGAGTGTGGGTGTTTGTTCCTATTTTCAACAAGGTTACACACGTCCACACTCCATTGCAAACAAGATAATAGACTTGTTCAACACTTTCAAACATTGTCTGAGCTATAGGTCTATCAGCTCATGCTTCGTTTTTAACTACTTCTCAGTTTTGAAGCAACCGGTGTGATCATTTCCCCATTTGTCACGAAGGTGAAGCTTGTTTTCTGAAAAGAGAATATAGTTCAATATATAGCGCAAGACACACATTTAAAGGTAGAACTGAAAAATTTTCCTTATTCATTGGAAATAGAAGGAAATTGCTTACATCGAAAATTATATTATTACTATGTCAATCAAAGAGTCATAATAAAATGAAGAAATATCTAAGGGAGTCGGTGGGTGTTGTTATAGATCTTTTCTTAACGGACATCCACCCACACTCCACATCCACACCCACATCCTCAGTATCGATCACAGTGAAAGGGTAAAAAAAATTTTCTCGATAAATAATGATCGTTATCAAGCATCAAAATTTATTTACGCGAAATCGTGATTACTGTTGCTTCGTTAATAGTTTTACTCGAAACAACTAATGTTGTATGAAAGAACAGTCAAACGGGGATAAAAATGGTCAAATGTCTTCATTTTGTAATTGTTTTAACAATATGAAATGGTCACAATTAATATACAAAAAGTGCTTTTCATATGATACATTAAAAAGATGAATCTGGTTACGATAGACGTCTACTAGAGTGCAATATCAAAAGCTATGTTTCCTATTTATTTAAAATCAATCATTATTATATACAAAAAATAATAATAAAACAAATCCTAAACAACTAAATTTTTACCACCATAAATACAAATCACGATTAATAAATTTACTACAGTAATCATTAAGTAAATTTTCTGATTTGATTAAAATAGATAATTCTTTTAAACATATTTTTGGTATTTGTAAAATACATAAAAAGAATAAATTTTGTGTTTTATTATTAGGTTTTGATAATAAAAATCGAACTATTGATTGTATTTCTTTTCTATTCAATCCAATTTTAAGATATTCTAATCGTGGAAATAAATTCACAACCAATTGAATTTCATCGAATGAACACCAAACACGAAAATCGAGAATTTTTATTTTATTTCTATTTGATACATATTGAAAAACTTTATTTTGTTTAATTACATTTAGATTAATGTCCCCGAATGGTAAATAATCCAATTTTAATGCATATAGATTAGGTGTAAAACGTAACAATTGAATAATTTCCGTAAATGTAAACTTATAACATTCAATAACCAACTTTGTAAGTTGTTTTAAAGGAATCATACGGCGAAGACTTTTTGAAATTGAATCATTTGATGTTTCAAAATGATGTTTAATGGTTAATTGATTAACATTTGGAAAATAACTTATATAATTATCTTTTATTTCTTTACTACAAATATAAAGATGTTTAACTAAATGGTAATCTTCTTTTTGTATGCGTGAACAAATTGGTTCATTTGATTCCCAATGATACACATAATCTTTTCGTCTAAAATAGAATAAAGATTATTTTCTATTCACAAGGATATTTATCGTAGCGAGGAATGTGATAACACAATCAATTAACAACCTAGCGTTTTCATTATACAAGAGAGAAAAGTTAGGACTGTAAAAAGAACTATATTTTGAAATTAATAGGATTTTAATAAGATCTTTCGATATACACAAGGCTGATATACATAAATAATTTCATTTTCGACATATAAGATGTTAGATTTGAATCAATGGATTTGTACTGTATATGGGTTGGTCACCATCCTGAATTCAGTGATTAAATTTCTTTTTAGTTCCATGATCAGTCTTTATGCTATGACAAAGGCAACATTGAGGCGAGAGTATACAATACTTTCAAACTTAGAAACAAATATCATTAGGGTGAAGTTTTCGATTCACTTTGATAAGCATGGGTCTTCTCTCTCGAACTCTATTAGCTAAAACTGGTCATAGATATTTTTTTTTGTGTCGACAAATAATAATTTCTCTTTACCGATATGGAGCGATTGAATAAAAAATTCCATTATCAGGTTGATCTTTCCAAATATGTTGATGTGTAAAAAACCATTTATTTTCAAACCAAAACGAAGAATTAAATTCATTAATAACATCATGATATGTTAAAGTATTGGTTTTTACAGAACCTTTATGATTTATATCAAAGATACGTAAATATGGCATATTTGATACTATTAATCTTTGCCATCGTTTAGCATCTAAATATGCTTCATCATAATATGTCGTAAGATGTAAAATTTGAACATAATGAAACAATTCTATGATAGTTTTTTCAAACTTTTTAAACTCAATATAATCAATTCGAAGAGAAACATATTTCAAATATTTTAATTGAATAAGAGATAAATTTTCTTCTTCTGCTTCTTCTTCCGCATAATAACGAGATTGAACAAGACAATCAATTGATAAATGCTGAAGTTTAGGAAGACAACATAATAATTTATTAAATGCATCAAATGGAAAACGACCATTGATTATCAACCATTGTATCGGACTGTAATCATATTGAGTAAAAATGGTCAACAATGGGTCTTCGTAATCTTTTGTTTGATATTCAATTTTACAATATTTTAATTTTGATAAAAAAAATATATGAGAAAAAATCGGAGATAATGATTCAATATAATCACCGATTGAAATAGTTAATGAATGAAATTTACGTAAGTGTATTAAATTATCAAAGATTTTATTAAGATGTTTGATTTGTATATTTTCAAGAACTAATGTTTCAAGACGAATGAAATTCAAAATCAAACGTGGTGGTGAGAAAATAATCTCGGCAGCAAATGGATTTAATAAACGAAGAAAATTAATTCGACTTTTATTTGGTATAATAATATCATGATAATAATCGTCAAAATTTGATTTAGATATTATTGAAATATTAATTTTAGTTAAAACATTTGAATTAATAGCTAAATTTTGAAATCGATTATTAAGATTATAAAATCCTTTGTAAATATCATGTACATCAAGATATTCATATATTTCATAAAGAATTTCATTGGCTAAATCTTCAAGAAGATATCTAAATAAAAATAAAGGATTATTATTTTTTTTTATATGATGAAAGAGATATATCTGACTTGTTTGAATTGATTGTTGTTACTAAAACAACAAACGGAGAAAAATTAGATTTAAAAAATATTAATATGAAATATTACTTTGTTTTTCTAATTTTTGTTTTTTATTACTGTTTGAAATTTGAACCATTTCATTCTCTTGCCGTTTTGTTCGTTGCATGTTTAAGATAATTGAATAACGATGATACTGACTTAGAACGAATACATAAACACGTGCAATAATAAACAAATTGTCTTTTTCTTCTCTAAACACAGTAGACAGCGAGTGTAGTGTGTCTTCTTCTATTAAAAAGACAATTGATTTTAAGATACAATGCCCGTCATAAAACAACTAAGCAACAATAATTATTAACACTTCTCTAAGAAAAACAATTATAAAATAGAGAACAATCGATTTTGATTTTTATCATCATACGCTGTATTTTTGACAATCCAGTTTAGACAAATTACGATTGAGTGTGCTCACTCGATGGCCATGAATTTAAGTCTTGTTCAAACTTGCTATAGGAGCAAGCGTTTGATGAATTCCTATATAGGTTTTATGAAAAAAATTGTTCGATTCTTGATACACTGAATTCTTTGTGAGATCAATATCTCTTTGAGAATCCACATATATCTGTTGAAAGTTAATCTACTGTTTTGCACAACAACGTACTACTCATGAAGAAACGTTGTCAAATGTTAAATTGTTGTTAAGTTGGGATACAATGTGGGTGTGGGTGTCGACGAAGAGGAGACGATACCCACATCCATACCCTAACTAAAATAAAGTTTTCGGAAAAGAAGAAAGTCTTCATTCCATATTCATAGTCTAAGTACATAAAAATATTCCTGGTAGTCAAGAAAAAAACATCCCATGGGAGTACAATAACGTATTGTGGAGTGAAAGAAAAGAGAAAATATGACATGAAATAGGTTAGTTGAACGTGGCATAAATGACATTTTAACAAAATGTTTCAGTTTCGTATTGTGAGTGATAGACCCTGAAGAATTCTGCAGAAATCACAGAACCCTTCCTGATCCAATATTTTTGGATAGAACACTTTTTATAGTTCAGTATTTTTGGACAGAACCTCTTCATTTCAGCATTTTTGAAAAGAGAGCATCATGTGGTTCCGCATTATCTGCCAAACCTTGTAAAGGTTTATAAATATCATACAGAACAATAAATTGGTTCTGCACATTCTGCAGAATCCAAAATAGTTCTGTAAAAGTCTATTTATTTTTCAGAGTACAGCTGGAGACTAACTTTTTGAGACATTTAATCAGATAATCAGTACATTTCTTTCATTCATTCGTTGTATCTAATAAAAATGTACAACAAAGAACATATTGATAGAAGAGACAATGTGTTCTATTTAACGATCGATTAAAGATTCAAACAATCTATCCGTATGCTAAAAAGAAATGAAATTTGTATTTATAACAAAGAGAATTACCCACTTTGCTGAGCATTTATAAACAGCAAGTTATTTCTCTAATACATAGAACAAAGATTCATATAGAAAACAATACATGCAATAAGAAAGACCATAAAAAATTAATGAGGCAATAAAAATAATTGCAAAATGATACTGTTTGTTACAAGGAAGTGGTTTCATCCCCATGATGCATTCATAATTTTGTTTTAATTCTACTAATACAGTTCTTTATATACTTAGTGTCAGGATGATCATTTGATTCATAGTTTTGTTGCATCTCAAGTGCTCGTTGCCAGATTTCCAAAGCCTTGTTATACTTTTTTTGTTTTGTGAGAATCTCACCGATATTTGTGAGAATATGAACGGTCTCGGGATGACCACTGTGAAAATAACTGTCCTGTATTGTTAAGGCTTGGCCAAAATTTTCTAAGGCTTTATCATACAGTTCCTGTGCCATCAGCACACGACCAATATGTTTTAGACTCTGTGCAGTGTTCGGATGACCATCAGGATAGTATTTTTTTTGTACAATGACTGCGTTTTGATAAAACATGAGAGCATCATCGTATCGTCTTTGCATTTCGTAGACATGACCGATGTGTGTCAGACTATTGGCAACATCCGGATGCCCATTAAGATAACACTTTTCTAGCATTCTTCGTGCGCGTTTGTAGAGTTGAAGTGCTTGATCATAATTTTTCTGTCTCTCATGGAAATAACCCATATTGTTGAGAGTCTGGACGATGTCAGGATGTTTAGTATTATAATGTTTCTCTTGTATTTTTAAAGCTCGTTGAAAAAACGTCATGGCTTCATCGAATTTATTTTGACCAAGTAGAACACAACCGATACTATTGAAACTATCAGCAATCTCAGGATGTTCAGGTGGGTAACATTTCTGTCGTATTTCTAATGCCTTCTGATAAAATTCGAGTGCTTTCTCGAAATTCTCTGCTGTTTGGTGAACTCGTCCAATATTGTTAAGACTATGAGCAATGTCAGGATGATCGCCAATAAAGAACTTCTTCTGCATGATGAGTGCTTTTTGAAAGTAGGAGAGAGCTTCTGTATCTAGCCGTTGTGATTCAAAAATGGTACCGATATTGTTGAGACTCTGAGCAGTATCGGAATGGCCGCCAGGAAAATGCTTTTCTCGCACATTCAGTGCTCTTTCAAAGAACTTTCTAGATTCATCATACCTTCCAAGTCGACGAAGAACACAGCCTGTATTGTTGATATTCTCAGCAATATCAAGATGATCACTTGGGTAGAATTTCTCGCGTATTTCTAACGAACTTTTAAACGAATCAAGTGCTTGAAGGAAATGACCTTCTTTTCGGAAGACGCAACCAATACTGGTAAGTACATAAGCAGAATCCTTGACACGAGGCGGGTCAACACTCATCATTCGCCTGTAAGCACTTTTATAATATTTCCGTGCAGCTTCCCATTCTCCTTTGAAATCCAGTGCTCGACCGATATTATGCTCGATCCATGCGGGATCTTCACCATGTGGATTAGCCATCAAGTTTTTAAAATACTTCAGAGACTTATCATACTGACCCATATTACACATCAGACGTCCAAACATGATAGCGACACTCATGTCTTCAGCTTTTGAACGTATATCTTGAATATAATTTAGTGTGATGGCTTGTCCTGCATTTGATGCGCTCATTTCAATGACTGTCACATCGGGTTTGTTTTGTATATTGTTAATGCAAAACACAGTGTTTAGATCAAAGAGAACTTCCTTTTCACCAGGAAATTCACTGTATTCAGCCACATCGGCGAAGACGATATTGTCATCGGCTTGTTGCACTCGTATCTCGAATAGAACTGGTACAAGATTGGTGCGTTTCGTCAACTTTCGGACAAACTCCAGCGCCTGTGAGCGAAGTCGACTGGTGGACAAGTATCCATTCATCGAGATGAGTTTACCGATACTATCTTTGAATTTTTTCAGTTCATCATCACTTAATTTTCCTCCACGATAAACTGTCAATGTTCTTTCTCCAGATAAAACCATTTTTTTATGTTCACGATCGAGACTTTCCGATAAATCTCCAATAAAGAATCGAAATGTATACAGCATATCAATGTCTTCACTTTTCAGTGCCTTGTTAACCAGTTTATAAATGAATGATTGTTTCGTGTACCATCGAATGGCTTCAATCGATTGATAATGACGTTCAAATTCATCAATCGTTGTCAATTGTCGTAAGTTGCCTCGATAGTAGTTGCGACATATGTCGAGCATTTGTTTTTTGGCTTCCTGATCGCGTGGAAGGCGAAGTATAACATCTCGAAAAAGTTGAAACCAAAGGAACTCAGCTGATTCTTTGGATAAGGTTTTCGCTATCTGTTGATTTTGATCGAAGAAGGTAAAAGTCTCTAATTGTTTCTCAACAAGAGATATTTGTGCTTGAATGGAGTCACACAATAAGTTTAAATCTACGTAAATATCGACGATTTTCGGGTATGCAACTTTGAGATGTTCATATCTAACATTTTTGAAGCAATAGATGAAGATGCACTCAAGTTGACTCAGCTGAACGACGCGTGGTAAGAATTCGGATGCACACGCACCAGATATGACCAAGAAGACTTTTTCATGTTGAATCGATTGAATAAAGATAATACATGTTTCCAGATCTTTATGAAACACTGTATAATGGTTAATATCAAGTAACCGTTGCTTGGTGACTGCTGTATCTGACCTTAAATCAATATTCGGATCGTACCAGAGAAGAGTTATAGCTTCCTTGTTTTCGCCATGATGTGTATCACCAGATGAAGGTGTTGTAATTATGGAACCGGCTGCACTAGTTGTGTTAATTGATGGTGTCACTGTTGCCATTCACTTGTACAAACGGACTATTATCAATTCGTTCGCTCTACAGATATAAATAAGTATGGAGTAAGTAAATATTGATAACAGAATATATAGATGTTATATTTCGCTAACATAAAAATGATCTTATTACCTACCTTGTCTTTTGAGTCGCAGTATACGTCTTTTGCTTCTCTTTTATGCAGACGTTTTTTTATATGACTTAGAAACAAAATGAAACAATGCATACTGATTAGCTTGTGTCTTATCAGAAACAGTATAAACTCGTGGATGAAAGCATTTATGATGGTGTATCAAGAGTTTCATTAAGCTGTGTTTTCTTCTTAGTCTCACGCGACATTGTTTCATATTACGTTGCATTAGTAGTTATATTTAACGCAAAACTTAATCTCATCTCGTCATATATCAAACAATTTATGGTTCCTTTTAAGAAGAATATAGTCAACAAGCACGTTTTATGGAAGAAAAACAAGAATGCAAAAATATTTATCACGATAAAAGAAGCAAATAAAAGGCTACAGAAAGAAACGAAAGAAAAGAAACATTCGTCAGACATGAGTAAAAAGAAAGATAAATATGATAAAGAATAGAAGAAAAAGGCGATTAATCGTAGATATATTGAAAATGTCCATGATGGCAAGCGTCATTTACACGGTAGGAGTCTCTGTAAAGGTTATTAGTTGGAAAGTCTCGTGCTTGAGTTGAAAACTACATTTACTATTTTATAATGAATTTTAAAAAATCGTGTTTTGTGTTTCATGGCGGTGAACATATCTCAGAAAAGTGGAAATAGAAATTTCAATAAAGTTCAGAGTAATTATTCTTTCGTCTCTTTTGATACAAAGTGTTGTTCATTGTAGTAGGATCTGTGATCACAAACATAAATGTTTGTAATCAACAAGTATTCCCAACACGAAGTAACATCTAATGATTAGAATGATTTCATCATATCTCTATACTTTGAGGACTCCATTATTCATATTCCAACATAGATATCTATTCTTACCAGCAGAGTTCAGTGCTATTTCATTTAGAGCGATGTTTAATACTATGCGATAGAAATTTGATATTATTTTCATGCTCAGTCTTTTTTATTGCTCTACACGACAGCATCTCAAAAACTTACTTTTCGTAGTAGTATCAAACAATTATTGCGTCGTTATCTGCAATCTTCACTTCACCTGAGTTTTTAACTATATACTGGTCTTCTTGTAAGTGGGAAAAAACCAACTTCGATAGGGTGTGTGTGAGTCATCAGTTTAGTCATATTCACCCCCAAACGCACCCCCACATTCACACCCATCAAAACCTACCATTCGAGAGAAACCGCCCATAGAACATTTCTATGGTAACGAAAGTTCGCAAAAAGCTTTCAGCTTCATTGGAAAAAAGCGAAAATTTTTCAGGATAGGAAAGAGTTACCCAGCTTCAGTTGTTATATTTCTGCTTGTCATTTTTTCAATAGAGTTCTATATTGACTCTAGCTTATGATTACAGCATCATATTTTGTCTTCGTCTTGAATGTCGTGAAATATGACACCATGAGCCATTATCGATCCTGTTCTTTCACCAACTGATCATAAGAAGGAAAGTATGACATATGAATCACAAGAAGTAATTCGATTCTTTTGAGTAGACATAACGCTTCTCTCTGGACTGTTTTCTTCGTGTAACAAAATCATGTCTGTTGAGTGATACATAAGTTCTGTGAGACAATGGAAATATTTTGGTCAAACTGGTTTTACTGAAACAAAAAGATGTTTTACATCGTGTCTCCTTCATTGTTTTCTTGAGCAAAAGCATTGAAGCCTGTAGGACATGTCGACAAATTCGATCCTATGCAAATCCTCTCAATAAGCAGCCAGGTGATATCTTTTCAGTAGCTGATGTATCCAGTCGAAATATTCATCCAGCGGAATTAGAGTATTTCGATGTGGGTGCTGGTGTTTTGCTGAAAAAGACATTCCAACCCTTCAGCCCCCACCTCACACCCTTCTCAGCGATATCATTCAAAAAGTGATGAATTTTTAATAACTCTGCTTTACCACCTTATGTTTACATTATGTGGATTTAGTTTTGACATTTAAAGTTTTGTTAGATCTAAAATAGCAATTACAACTATATTTCTTGGAACAGATATTCTATTTTCAAGAATTGAGTTGATTTTTTTAGCTATGTAGGATTAGATTTTTGCATGATCAATTCGTCAAATAGGTGATAATGAAAAGAAAAGTTTCAAAAGTTCTATCGATAGTTGATCAATGCATTTATTTATTTATTTAATCGAGTAAAAGAATGACACTTGATTAAAATAAAATGATAGATGAGTTTTTGTTTTTGAATTGTTTATTAAACATCGACAACAATTATTTGATAATCATTTATTTCAGTATCAACTGTTGGATCAATTTTGAATTTTGCTGGATAACTTGATTTTGTTTCTACCATTTTATTTTGATGTTTTTGATGAGTTGATTTTCTTGCTGGTAATATATGATCAGCAATAATAGCTTCAAGTTTATATTCAACATTTGCTTTAACACGAGCTGTATCAAGCCAATATTCAAATCGACAAGGATATTTTTTTGATGTACATGTAAAATCAACTTGATCAATAATATGACCTTTTTCTTTATCTTCCATAAGTTCTAATTTCACTTGTGTTCCCGGTAAATCATGGTCTTTACTATGATTATGATGAATAATTTTACCACGAATAATAACAAATTCTAAAAGAAAAGAAAAATAATAATAATAATAATAATGAATTATTTATCAGAGATGAATTCCGTTCGATTGGGTTCCAAAATTAGTAAGAACACGAACTAATATCATCTCTTTTCATTTGTATAAAGAATATTTACTAATTGCACGCATATTGAAATCAAGCGTATCAATATCCTTTTCTGATAATTTAACATGATTTTCATGTATATAAGCTGGTTGCCATATCATACTAACAATATAAAAACTTTTTGCTTTCTCGAGTTTAAAATCATGATCAGTAAGTACAATTGAATAATTCAATGGAAATGTACTAGTTGTGATAGGTGTCAACGAACTATGAAGAATTGTGTGATTAACATATACATTTATTGAAAGTATCATGCCCTTGAGATTACGTATAGCATCACCCGATGGTCCAATAATCTGACCAACAAGTAATGTTTCATTTACTAAAAAAATTTGAAAAAAGAAATTCAGAAGAATGTTGATCTTTTATTTTAACATACATGGTCCTTTACGAATAGCTTTACCATCAATAGATAATGACCAACTAAGTACTAATAATATAAAACCAATCCATACTTGTTGCATGTTTGTAAATGTTGTTCGAAAACAAAAACAAAATGAACTAAAAAAAAGAAAATACAATAATAAAATTGATTGAAACAATGATAACATAAAATATATTATAGCCATATGTAGTATTTGTTCTTTTGTAGAACTATTGACTAAAAACAGACATACAATAATATTTTTCTTTTATCTAAAATATTCAAAACATATGTAAGAAAAAAGATAAATTAATATTTTCAAAAAGACTTATATTAATATGTTTAACAAATAAGGCTTTAAAAAAAAATTTTTTTCATACAGATTTTGATGAATAATTAGTTTTCTTCTTCTGTAAATAATAATGAAACAAAAAAAAAAGTGTAGGAAGTTTCACTTAGCTAAAATAGAAATTTTTTTAGCATAGATGTCAGAGAATTTTGTCATGTAAATTTCAATAAATACTTAAAATTATATTTCATAAAAAGATTAATATTTGAATCTTCTTTTAGAAAAAAAAAATTGATTACATAAAATTCCAGTAAATATTTTTATAATTATAAATAATTGATATTTCATTCTGTAGATATTCATATATGTCTTAAATTAATTCTTATCGAACATTTAGGTGTGTTCTGTTCTATCAAAATTAGATAATTAATACCACATCTACTATTTCGTCTTAGAACTAAATCATGCACATGAAACTTACAATTATATATAAATAGACTTCTGACTTTTTTTTCCAAATTGTTCCACTTTTTTTTTTTTTTATTGCGAATGGAAACGAAAATTTTCATTTATCATATATATAACACATTAAAATTTATCTGTATTTTTTTATTGTTTTTTGTTCTGATATGGATCTCTTTACAATTTTATGAATCTCGTATGTCCTTGTCTGAAAAAAAGACATGGTTATGTTTACGACTTAATACTTTATCGTGTTCATTATCGGAAGAATGTATTATTTTCAATGTAACATGTTATTCAAATGGTTACATTATTTTTCATGGTATTAATAATACAGCATATCTAGGTAAGAAAACATTTCAACTTGAAAAAAATCGAATGATTGCTTTAAATGAATTTATTCAAACACATGCATTTATATCGGATTTTCAATCAATAAAAATTTTATTACGTATTGAATTATTTCATCATAATAATAATGAAATATATTTTTGGAGAAATGATACAATTAGTTATACTCTGTTAATATCACTTTTAAATATTAATACATTATCATCATACAAACATTGGTCAATATTACTACGTACTGCTCATATTTTATCAAATATTCAACAAAGAAACAAACCTAAACATTTCATTGATATAAATTCAAAATTAATACAAACAAGACAAAAATTTCAACAATCTTTAAAATATCAAAATTCTATTAGATCTATTCGAACAAAACGAATGATTATACCAATAGCAAAAATTTCATATAGTACAGATGATAATAATGATATTTTTCCATATAATATAGGATTTATTATGCCATCAATTCAAAAATTAAGATTAATAACAGAAAAATTCAATGATGATATTTGTTTTTCTTCTAAGGTAATTGAGTCACAATTTGATTTAATCGATGCTTGTCTATCGACGAATGATATTATTGGAGATAATCAATTTTATACATTACGAAATCTATTTAACTGGTTTTCAAATCAAACTAAATGGTCTAATGCATTGATCAATTTACAAGGTAAGTTTAATTTCTA